AAGAGCGAATCCTTGATTTCGTCGTCGATGATGTGGTTGGAACCTTCGGGTTGCGGTCATGAGAGACTATCTAGATTCTTCGAATAGTGCAGCACGTTGAACGTTGAACCCCGGATCACTCGAGTCATATTCACAACTTGATAATATTTGGGCGTTGATGGAAGTTTACTCCAGGAAATTGAGCCATTAGGAATGACGTCGTTCGAGTGTTTTGATACGCAGACAGAATGAACGTCTGTAGAAAGGTAACCGCAAAATATACCATAACAAAAAAGAAGAGAGAGAGAGAGAGAGAGAGAGAGAGAGAGAGAGAGAGAGAGAGAGAGAGATACAATGTAGGAAGATCAGAAAGGGAGTAAACTGCCTGCTCCTCGTAAAGCCATTTGTCCGCCAAATCGTAGCGTCTGAACACCTCCTGGGAAGTAAGCAAGGACATACGAGACAAGTGCGACAACCTAAAAATATTAATGGTCAGCAAGATAGTTGGGAACAAGGAGATACAGGATACGAACTTGTACGATTGCGGATAAAAGAGAGCCGATATATGAATGCGCCTAAGATGGTAAATGCAAACAAGTTGGGTCAGAATTTTGAAAGCCTGAATCACAATTCAGTGTGGCATGACATACTCCCAATGAAAAATATAAGGTTAATGCGAGACTTCCGATATATGTGAGAGAAAATGGTAGGCGTTCTTTCGATACGAGATGTTTGAGGTGGTTTATGGGTCCTATCAGGACAGAGAATCTATACGCGTTTTCCCAAAGACATTCAAGATGAAATAACTGGTGTATCTGAGATTTTTACTCACCCGAACATGACAAGTAGACTTCCTAGACTGTGCCAAAGGATATCAGTCTTATAAAAGAGAAAAAACGAAGATAATACCATACCTGAACGCCAAAGCAAACTTCGCAGGTCGGAGAGCCAATAGTGGTAACGTTAAGAACGCAACAAAGAAGCAAACAGCAGCTCCTATCAAGCATCCTCCAAATCCCAACAGTCTAAACAGCACGGTAGTAGATTAATGATCGTCAAACTTGTCCGCACAAGTAAAATGATGATAATGTTACTCACCTCTCCCATCTCGACAATGCAAAGTACGCCTCATCTTCATTAGACCTCTCACCACTGCTCAAGGGTATATATCCTCCACCGCTTGCTATGCTATTATAAAATCTTGAAAAAGGGTTTGTTGACGTGTTTTCCTGTTGGGCTTGTTGCGAATCATCGTTGTTTCCTCTCGCCCAACGGAACTGTGAGAGATTGGATCGAAAGTTTTGTTCTGCTGTAGGGGTCGGCATCCTTTTGATGATTTATGGAATTCAAGATATCAGAGGGAATATCCAGTGGTATTTGTGGGTAGAATACAAGGGTAAAGAGCGGATGAACTCAATGCGCAGAGTCGCAACAGATGACAGTTGGCACAGACTAGGTATTTGGAGTGGAGCGCCTCACAATAAAGCTGACGTAATTGAGCTCTCGCGATCACGAATTTGAAGTTGAATTTGTTTAATTGTGTGACGCTTGTCACACCGGCCGGGCAGCCTCAGGCTGGAGGGGAAAGACTGTACATATATCTTTTCTACAGATAATTTCCACAGTATTTCAATACAATCTTGGCTATGCAGTGTATATTTACTGAACAGTACTCAACCTTAATATGATCGGCACAGTGAATTTGATGGGTCTACGGAATCTACTACTTAGTACTACTACAGTAGGTTGATTTGAACGAACGTGAGTGATAATCGTAGGGTCATGAGGAATACGTATGCGGTAAATAATTGACTACGGTTAACAAAATTGTAGAAGATACCTCAATTTAGCAATCTACACCACCTCGATGGCACCATTGACACGAGCACCCTTGTGATTTGCTTGAGCTTTTTCTAAGGGTGCGGCGGAAACTTCAATCTTTTCCGAATTTTTCTGCATCTCCAAGCTCCCAGAACAAGCCTCGACATCGATATCAGCAACAACAGATGTTTCTTCAACCTCGACCCGATAGAACACGAGTACCGCGATAAACGCAACACCAATGATTGCAAGGAGGAACCAAAACGCGGCAGCTCTTCCATTGTAGTGTGTAGGGCCACCATGTTTGGCTTCAACACTCGTCTGAATAGAGGCATCGATAGCAAGACCGACAGCTGATCCTAGTTGAAGGGCACAATTGAAGATTGCTCCTACAGTACCGGCCATGGCGGGAGGAGATGCTCTGAAGATTGCAATGCTAAACCGAACCGATCAAGTTAGTAAACAGCCCTTTCAATGAATTACAGCAGTTTCTTTGTACTTACTATGAGTGAGTGTAAGTCAGCATCGCACCGCTAGATCCAATGATAAATGCGGGGAATACAAAGCTCCAGTATTTCGACGGCGAGTCTGCCAAAGCCTCCAATATGGTGGCAACCATGAGGAGAATTTCCGCGAACAACAGAATATACTTGGTGCTGATCTTCTTAGCAAGTCCAGATGAGAAACTGACGAACAAGCAGAAGACTCCGATGGGAAGCCTAATAGTATTGATTGATCATCAATGAGAGATGTGACGAAATAATTCTACAATGGAGGACTTACATCCTGAGTGCGGTTGAAATAGCAGACCAATGATAGACGGTCTGCCACAATGTCGTGTACGTAGTGGAAGCTGTAGACCACCAAAAGTATGGCAATGCAGCGAGAGCAACGAGAACGGGGAAGTTGGGCAAGAACCATGTGCTTGGGGGTCTACCCAACATCATCAGATTACAATGCAAACTCAAACATACTAATGAGGACTTACACGGAAGCCACTTCTGGAGGTATTTTGGTCTCATAGTAGAAGAATCCTACCATCATAAATATGGATATGATAAGAGGTGCAAGTACCCTCGCAGATCCCCAGCCAGCCTCGGAGACGGATGTAAGTGCAAAGATGAACAGCGTAAGAGCGACTAAAGACAGTCGGTGAGAATTCATTTTCCCCATTAAAAAAGAATGACACATACTCGTCAAGACTGAAATGCCTCCTAAGTCGAGACTCTTCCAACGAGGACCACTGGAAGTGTGGTCACGATTCGAACGGGTTGAATCTTCTGGAACGAGGAGAAAGCATGCTCCAGAGATTGGTATCGACACGATAGCTACGAACCAGAAAACCCATCCCCAAGTCGCAAATTCGACAAAAACGGCACCAATAATTAATCCGAGAGCTAAAGAAAGCGTGCCAAATGATCAGCCTCAATGTAGAATTAAATTTCAAATGAGTAATCCATACCATTACCAATGGCGCCACAACCCCCGAACAAACCAAGAGCTCGGCCTTGTTCAGTGGGATCAGGAAAGAAATTTACCAAAAGAGTGAGGGCAGATGGTATCGTCAAAGATGCACCTGAAATGAACATATGTTACTATCGTCTGGAAAATTGAAAAAGGCAGAATCGACTTACAAACACCACTCAGAGCTCGAAGAACAATCAATGTGATTTTATCGGGAGAAAATCCTGCGCCTATCGAAAAGCAACCAAGAATAAATGCGCCAACGACAAAGGCATATTCTTTCCGGACGATAAAGTAAGTTCCCACTATTGAAGTACATTATAGATGTACTCACTTGGGCTGTAGATATCGCTAATCCGTCCGCTCTGAAAAATATTATCAGTGCAAGCATTGAATATTAAAATGATTTAAACATACAATGAGCAGGAATGCCGCAAAAGTCAGTTGGAAAGCACTGATGATCCAAGCGGTTTCCCCTTCAGCGATATCGAGATCCTTTACGAGTGTCGGAATGGCAGCAAAGAGTGCGGAGCCACTGACTGCATCGATGAACTGTGCAGCGCAAAATAATGCCAGGAGGACATATTTCCGGAAAGTCGATAATCGATGTTCTTTACTCTGCGCGAGTGTCGGAGTCAATGAAGATGCTGTATGAGGCGCAGGGTCAGACGACATAGAGCTTTAGAAGATGGGAGAATAGATGATAGAGGTTCGGGTGAAGATAGATGACCTGAGTAGGAAGACGGATCAAATTAAAAGGAAGTACTAAGTATGACAGCCAGTCGATGAAGAGAAAGGGTAGGCGGATAATTGGTAAGGTAGTAGGTGCCTCCATCCATGTTATTTATCGGCCTTTCGCATTGTGCGTGTGGCTGGTAGATGGTACTGAATTATCCAGGTTCTTTGGCAAGACTCCAGTGGCTTGAGTTGTTCGGAACCGCACGAAACGCTGTCTATACCTTCTCTCCTTCTTCGGCAGGTGCTTTGTCAGCATGGCCTATCCTCAACATTCGCGTGTCCGATTCGGTTGTACTACTTTTGTATAACGATATCGGACTGCTGGTATATCACGGCGTCTGTGAAGTAAATTCCGGTGGCTGTGGTCCAGCATAATGCTGTAAATCACCCAAATCGTGTCCAAACTTCGAGCATTCAAACCATTATTAGCTTCCTAGCTTGAATATGAATTGAGGGACCGGGCTAAATGACTGCTACTTGAAGATTCAGGCTGACTCGAAGACGCAACTCCACTGCCAGTGGGACTTGGAGAAGGTTTCGCAAAGTCACATTCATAACCGCACAGGGCAGATTTCTTGCTACAAAGTTGTTACAAACTGAGCATAATTTATAGAGTACCCCAAAGTTACGTGTTACATACCAAAGTCATTCAAAAGATATCTTCGGCATCTTCTCCTTCAAGTTTCAAATTCGATTCCGATTTTTTCTGAAATCTATATCGCCGTCGACTTGCTCCATAATAATTGAAATGGGGCATACCAACACTGTATTGGAATAAAATATAGAGAGTATGGTTCAACGTTCGGATTCAAGCTGAATTGCCAGTGAGTGTTTCGCAATCGTTTGCCTTCAGCGCTTCAGCTTTGGCAACAATCGCAAACGAATTCAAATAAGCGATTATTTGTCCTTGTTTACCAAAGGCCTCTAATAAATTCCCTCTTCTGTTTCAAAAAAAAAACCTTCGCAAGTCCATGAAATCGCACGACGGCCAAACAAAAGGGCCTGACCGGGAATTGAACCCGGGACCACCTCCAAACACAGCTGTTGAAGCCCTAAGAAGGTATCATACTACTAGACCATCAGGCCTCGAGGTGGAGGATCGTCCAGATAGTTCCGAATTTCCCTCAACTTTGTATAGGCAAGTGTACCGAGACATGGCAGAAATATAGGAATGTTGTTTGTGTGATTCAGAGACCGTCGATCCTGCTGAAAATGCCATTTATAATAGTGAATAAGCCATAAAGCGAGAGTTGTATTCAAAAAATGGCCTGTGCGACAACCCAGACTTTTTTTTTAGCATGAAATTAACAGAGAAAATGTTTGGTTGTTGCCATAGTATTTTCCTGTAGACAGTGAAACAAATCATTTTCATCAAGTAAGAATATATAGATATCAATAATTAAATAATACTTCTCATTAGCAGAAACTGAGTCGAACAAGGTAATGTACCAATTAAACCTGTCATTGAAATTTGTTGAAAGTCTCATTTAATATCAATGAAAAGGATGGAGAAAACAACGACATAGAATTGATACAACGACAGCGAATTATCTATATATTGGTAACATGGTATTAGGAATGTACGACGATGATGATAGTGATGCTACGACAATGAGTCTAGTGAAGGATTAATGCGGCTCCAAAAACGATGATACTGAACAATGCTGAAGAACGAAAACATGACCCAAAGATGAAAGTGATGAGAAGTGGACAGTCGATACTAATCCAGTAGTTGAAAAGACTGCTCCCACAATGCAACGAAAAAAAAAAATACAAGTACAGACGGTGACTCCAAACCTTTAAACGCATCAAGCTATCCCTCACCTACCAAGAATTTCCCGAACAGCCATCAATTCCTCCCCTAATGATGCATGAAGCGCCTCCAAACGAACCAAGCGTTCTTTGAGAGAGTCACGTTCTGCCTCAACAAGTGTTCGTTCCTGTGACGACGAGATAATATTCTCGGTGACAGAAACAGATGCTGCCCTTTCATCAACAGGATCTCTTTCAACAGTATCGTCCTCTTCAACAGTGGCGTCTTGTTCGATACCATGGTCGCTTTGATCAATATCTTGACGACCTGGAGATAATACACCGAGCTCTGATCCAGCGTCACTCGGGTCGCGAATGAAAGATTCCGGTACAGCAGAATACCGAATCTCTTCAGTTCCATGAGGAATCGGAGTCGATGACTCGGATAAAAATGCGGATTGTGAAGTCATGACTTTTCCGCTTAGACGTGCACTTGAACGCAATCGCTTCACAGGACCTATCGACATACAACGAATCAGTACGAGTAGAATACGAAAATGATCACATGTCGTACCAGCAACCCTTGACCGCTTCTTTGGTAAGTTGGGCTCCGCCTGAGTACGAATTCCGGATACGGATGTTGATAAATTATTTCTTCGCTTCCCTCTCTTCTTGTCACTTAAGGAGCAAGTAATATGTTTACTGTCGCAGCGAATACACGAGTAGCCTGGAATGTCGTATTCGCACTTCAAAGGAGGATCCATCGCGATACAATTGTTGCATGGTACTTCCGCCACGTATGGTTCTTTTGGAACAAGTGTCTCAGGTGGTGGAGATATCGTCGTGGCAGGTGGTGCAGATGCAGATTCTTGAGTAGACACAGCACGCGACAAAATTGAGTCGGGAGAGCCTTCTCGTTTAACAGTCGCTGAAAGCGAAAGATTGTCAATATATGCATGACTCAGGGAAACAAAGAACTGACCTCCTCGAGGTCTCTTCACTCCCAATGAACATGACACATGTTTCTCTCGACAGGCGGAGCATGCTTTCCCGGGCTGACGCTGACGACACACAATTATCTTCATCCTGATGCAGTTTTGACATCGAGGGTTCTAAGAAATGCCAGTGCGCATTTTGTTGGTTAATCATCGAGCAAGCAGCAAGCAAGAAACATGAGCGTACCTCAAGAGTCCGGGGTTTCTTCATTCTATTCCCAACTAAAATCTCATCATCCCTAATCCTCCTCTTCGGCACTCTAGTGGACTTTCGAATGACTGCAGGAGCAGAGACACTTTCCGTTTTGCTTTCAGAAGATTTCGAGGTACCATTCGAGTCTTTCCCATTGTTCCCTAGCCTTCCACTCCTCAAAATACGACCTCCGGAACTTGCACTGCGTGTAACCCTTCTACTAGTCCCTGACGACGATCCAGACAACCCCAGCGAATTTCCTTCCATAATATCGTCCACTGATGCTCCATCGTCGGTTTCGTAAAGTTCTGAATCGCGTACGAGACTTTCGAAAGTTGGATGAATATTCTTGTCCCATCCGGCGCATGCATAAAGGATCGGAGGGATTGATTTTTCTAGGTACCTCCCGTGTATAATAGGAATTAGAGGCATCTGATATGTATAATACGCATTTACACTAGAATAAGCAGGTGTTTCGAGGAAGTATGAGAGACGGGACTTACGACGATCTTCAAAATCCCGCTCTCTATTTCCTCCCAAGATCCGTCTCCGTACAGGATGTTTTCAGCTTGTTTCTCTTTCGATTGGAGATATTGGTCGTTTAGGTGAGAGAGAGCATTATGTATACCAGGCATAGAGGGCGGACGTCGTTGTATAGAGGGGGGTGCCATGAGAGTGGATGAAGAAGAGGACGAGTGGCTGAAGAGTGAATAAATGTCTTTCAGGATTTAAGCACTCGTGACAACAATGTCACAATTGAGATGTTCCCACGGGGTCCTTTTGCCTGAGCGAATAAAAATGGAAATGATGGCATTGGTGGGTTATTACCCTACTACAAATATTGCTCAGTCGCCGCACAGTTTTGAACAACTTGGATACTAGAAGAGATGCGATTTCAGCCAGTATCAGCTATGCTAGAACATTGGTAACCATAGGAGAATCACCGGTTGGCGACACAATGCTCAACATCAATCTGGCTTCAAGTCTTGAATTACGCTGCTAGTCGGGACTTTCTTCAGAGCCTCTCGAAGTAAAATCTATATTGTTTCCCAAGAGTATACAAGGGAAAGGTGGGCCTAGTTGCCATTAACATCGTCCTCATGGTTAATACTACCGACAGTTGGTTTCCGTGGTGGGCATACTACAACAGGTTGCCAAATTATCGATAATCTATCAGTAAAGTTGAATTGAATACACTCTATAGAAGGTATGAATCCCTCCCACTCTTACTATGCAAATTTAGGATTTGACGAATAGTAGGTTGGCACTCCTAGGATAACCGACGAATGGATCGAAAAATTTTCCTGCTTTCGGAAAGGTACGATGATGATGAGTATAGGATATACTTCAATGGATTGTCATTACTTACTGAAGCTCTTTAGTTTGCTGCTGGACCACGGGCCTGGTGAAGTGAAATTGAGTAATGGTAGGTACGTCTCTTTGTGGCGCTTACGACAGACTGTTAAGGGGACTCAAAACTTGGGCCGGGTGAAAACTAAAGACCCTTACATATAAATCAACCAATACAACGATGGAGGTAGTTCTACTACCTGGACCTCCTTGTGAGGCGCTTGCCGGTCGAGGGTTTTCGATAAATCACCATTCAGGAGAGGCGGCACATCCTTGGTTGGTTGCTGCGATTTTACTAATATAATGGTGGGAGGTTATCTGACTGCCATTTCTGAATCATCAGGAAAATATGTCAGATAATTCGCTACATGCGCGCCTTCGAGGACAGATACACTGCCCGCACCACTTGACTTCTCGTGAAAATGTTGGTTAGTGTCCATGCCAGCACCCGGATGACAATCAATGCAGCCTACGCGAATTCTTGCAAATTTCGAACTTCAAGTTGAGATAGATATTTTGATGGGTCAAGATCATTGAGCTCTACTAGTCGTCAGATATTGACAAACCGAGATTTAAAAATCGAGATGACGGTGAGCGTGTAGGCCTAGCTTGAGCTGATTTTAATAACTCACCTAAATGATGACTTTCCCCGCTGGATTGATGTAATAGGCCAAGTCGCAAAACTCACCACAAGAACATTGTCCCACTCTTTCAATTGCGGCCCCGACGAAAACATTTTGACAGGACTTTCCCCGGGACAACAGGTCATGGGCTACTACTAGAAGATGAAGCTATTAGAATGTTGACCGCATGCGCGAGTGTCATTGAACGGCTTTCTTTGGGACAATGATGGTTGATGATAGAATGGTAAACGCTAGGTTTATTAGAAGGGATACTTTGCGGAATTTTGGGGGGTTGTTGGACCGGAATAAACCTGAAATCCTCTGATTTCAAGAGCTCGATTATTGGTGGTAAGGTGGACTGGAACGCCAGCGAAGACATCTCCCGGAGTTAGGCTCGATTCCCAGCATAATCACAGCTGCTGTGGTGGTTGTGTCGAGTGAACATCATTCTGTCTGGTGGGAGGTTGGATTGTCGTGTTTAGCATTGATATGAGGGTGATAGGTCTGTTAGAGGAAGTGCATAAACTGCGTCTTCGTGTGCATGGTTCCTCTACCTGCCCAACATGGTTTGTTTGCTGATATTTTGCAAGATGCCGTTCACTGACTGAAAATCATTTGTAGGACCGGATATGTTTTCGCCGAGAATGGCTCCTGAGCGTAGACAGGGTTTCACAGCTTCGCTACCGACATGGAATATGACTCCTCCTAAGTATGGTTTTCGAGACGAGGCCAGTATTCTCCGGGTGTGTAGTATAGGCCATTGAAGGTACAAAATGCAAGTTACCCGAAGTTCACGGAAGCGACATTGACTCTGGCGATCGAGGATCAGACTCCTCATCCAAGCCCATTTTTTCCATGGTATTTTCTGAAGCGGTTTTCATTTTAATCTCTCAGATTTCCCGGATTGCGGATGGTCCAATGGGAAACACTCAATTCTCGCCTCACCCGTGAAGGTGGCCCATCATAAATGCTACCAAAAAAAACCCTGGTGATAAATACAGTACTTGTATATACTCATGTGTTTTAAAACTTCGAAGGACACACTCGAGGCCGCTTTCTCCGACCCGGATCGTATTCAATGGAGTCAGCCCTTTACTGCCACCAGCTACGGCTAATATTCGTGGTCTACGATTGCCAGAATCGGGAGCGAAATTCGTTCAACGCAAGTATGGT